GGGAAGGGAAGGGAAGGGGAAGAATGCATTACTATTTAAAGCCCTTTGACAATTATTATTATTTTTATAACACATTCATGAGCGGATGTTTTTCCCCTCTAAATATGACAGTAATTCCTGCCTACCAAAAAGAATTGTTTGGAATTAAATTTTTGAGCTCTTTAAAAGTTTGATGCCTTGCACATATCGAGTCTCTGTGTGTCTATCAATCCATTGGAAATGAATTTCCCCAAGTATATTACCTCAAATGGTTTAATGGGATATTAGTTTAGTTCTTACTCTTCTTCATTATCTGAGTTTCATCCGCTTTGTCTGTTGGTCATTTTTCGGTTCCTTCTGGATGTGACCGGTAAGGTTTTTACTCATCCGCCATGAAGAAACACCACGACTTTCGCAAATGCGATTTCAATGCTGATTTTCTCACCCTTAATTCATCTAAATGGGTTGTGGATGTGTTCGAGTGGTTGTCACTGAAATCAACTCTTGAAGTAAGACGTATACTGCTTGGACTCAAGCTGTAGAAGTGGGGAATTTCATGAAGTAATTACCTCCTTGCTACTTCTTGCCTTTTATACTCCGAAAGCGTATCCCTAATAGGGGCATTATTGGATGTACTTGAGAGTATTCTCTGTACGCTGCGAGAATTTGTTGCATTCTTCCCAATCAAGCTTTATCACATTTTGTCGCCTTGAGAAATCATAAAAGGTTTAGATGGCTGAATTTCTCATGCAATGAGGTGAGCCTTATTAGCCTCTCTCTCTCCCATGATTAATTGTACAATAGTGCCATTTTTTTAAATTTTCTTGACTTGATAACGTTAACCCCCTGCCTCTTCATACTTTTCGGTTAACAGTTTTGTGGGATTATGACCACTCACCATTTGAAGTAGTGAAACTTGGGTTGATAGAAAGTGTGTTACTCTTGAGTTACCCTTTTACTGTTTTTCTATTGATAACTCAAAGATAAGCTGCCCTTATTAGCCCGAAAAAGAATTTCTACAAAAGCTGAGTTAATTATTTCTACGCACCTCCTGCTCTACCTCTTGTGAAGTAGTGTCAACTTTGCCTATTGGATCGTTACTATTCACATAATGTCATCTGTACAAGTTCTTTGCTTGTATTGGTTGGTGGTAATTGGGTCAGATCTTGCAGGTCTTCTAAAGTGCAAATTTAAACATCTGGTGGATCACATGCCCGCTTTGCACGCGTGGCTTTATATTGACAGTGTTTCACAAAATTCACATATGTGTGGATCCGCGAATATTCCAACTCTAGGGAATGAAGACAAAGAAAGCCCTTATTGCTTATTGCGGATTGTCAGTTTTCTTTCTGGAATAATTTAGAATGTAGTCAAGCTTTTATTTAATTTCGTTTACAATCTTCTTGAGTGCCAATTCATGAGCCTTTATGACCATCTCATCATACGAAGAAAGAACGTCTTGGCGGTTGTTAGATTCGCTTTGTAATGTAATCTAGTTACATTTGTCTAAGTCAAGTTCCATAAAATGTCTTTTAGAAAAGATTGAAAGGCAAACAAAGAAACATCAAATTACGCGTTAGTGGGAAGGTGGAGTCATCTTGCAGCAGTGTCTTCTTAATATTTCAGTAGTGTGTATCGCTGAGACTGAGCAGAACCCATGCATTATCTTTTCAATAGCCTTTATATGCCAGTTACGGTATCTCTATTAACAAGATTCCTTGCCTATCCTACTTCCAATTCTTCTGTGTAGACTTCATTAGTGATTTATATTTTCCTTCCCAATACTGAAGACTTAAATTATTTAGTTGTTGAGGTTGACTGTAAACAGTGATGAGATCCATCGCTGTTTAATAGCGCATCGCTAGTTAATGGTAGTCATTTGTTTCATTAAATTGATATCGATATAGTTTTAACATTTCGCACTTCTAATCCCCAATTCAGGATTTTCATTTTTCTCTTTAAAGGCCACGGCGTAGTGCTTTACTACATTGGCGGTGAGGTCTTCGCGGAATGCCTTAGCGACAGCGCCATTTTCGTCCAATCTCCAAACTGCAATCACATGAACAACTGGCATCCAGCCACCGTCTGCAAAATTCCACCAGGTTAGTCTTAGTTCGTTTGTTGTTCAGTGTGTGTGCGTGTGTGCCTTCACATTCCCACTTTCTCGTTCAATTACTGTCTAAACGAATTGCCATTTAGTTTATGGTGGAGTATTTGGTGTAGTTTAAAAAGCATACCTCCACTGATGGAAACATCCCTGCAGCACTTATTTTAACCTCTTTTGAAAATAACTTTGTCTCTACGGTGTTATTTCCCCTGTATTATTTATTATCGATTTATGGGCTTTTCCGCACCCTGACTGCCGTATTCTTGCACCCTTAAGGTCAAGCATGTTGTTTCTATTAGGGCCTGCAGGTTTAAGTTCTGTCTCGTTTAGGCCGGCTTTTAAGGTGTCCGATATTTGTGCCACTTGTAGTTAGCGTAAACACAGTTTCCACCAAAGGTGAATACTTTCTATCTTGCCTATTTTATCATTTATTTAAAATAATTTATGTTCCATAGTAGACCATCCACTTGCTTCTCGGTAAATACGTTCCACTATTCATTTTATTTTATGATATCAGTTAATAATACATGTCTGAGACATTTCTTGGTGGGCGCTATTTGACATTAAAAGTGTATTAAACGGTGACGGATGTATTACTGGCCCTAAGGTAGTTTACTTCCTTTTGCAATGATTGATGTCTAAAGGTCAACTCACCACTCTATCGATTGGCCTAGTTTCTTTTCATTCGTCCATTCGGGGGGCGATTTGTCAGCTAGCCCTAAACAGAATGTTCGGGCGTATCTTTATAAAAACTATTTGCCGGATGTGCATTTTTCCTTTTTGAGACAAAGCGTCCATTTGTGAGTCATCCATGTCGGCGTCTTTTCAACATTACCGTTAGAGTTCTACGTTTTCGCAAATTTTCACTCGGCCGTAGTTGTTGATTTTGAAAATACTATGCTTTGGCATATCTTTGAACAAGTAATTACTTAATGTGATTTAATTATTCCATTATTAATTCCATTAAGGTTTCTTCGTTTAATTGATTTTGCTCGAAGTTAAACCGCGGCATTTAGATTAATAGGGTAAGTAGAAACCTTTAAGCCTTACTTTGTAAGCATGCAATATTTTCCCTCGGCAACCTATACTAAAGTTTATTGAATTTATTAATTAGTCCGAGTTTGCAGAAAGAACGTAGCACGAAATCCCATGATCACTAATCGTTTTCGGTGCGACAATCGAGGGAGATTTGCCATTTCTCTTGCCTCTCCGCCAGCTCTCTCTCCCTCTCCTTGCTATACTCTCTGATCGCCAATGAACGTGTGAACATCGCAATCAATGTTTCACATACACAGTGACCTCCTCTTGCTAAATTACTGTGCTATAGGTTGCTCTTGAATGAATTCGCAGTCAATGCATTTTGGGTCCTTTCTTTTCCTTTCTTTTTGCTGTTTCAGTTAGTACCTGGCATGCTTTGTACCTAAACCGAAAAGGTAACTGTACTTTCCTCGAAATTTTCTATTTGGTTTGATTTGATTATCAATTAATCAATAAGTGTCTATTTTGGAGTTAGCAGTATTCATTACGAAAAAATTTTTTCTATATGTATAGTTTTGCTAGCCTTCCTGGTTACACCAACACTCAACCTCTAATAGAGCCCACGCTGTCCACTACTAAATGCCATAGCTACAGCTGCTTAGATGCAGTAAGAAGTCGCAGAGTCGGTACGTATAGTTCGGTATGGTGAATTTGTTTGCTACTTTATTTGGGAGAAGCTATAAAGATCTTATAATAGGCAGTAACAGAATCTATATAATTTCTGCTCAGGGTATCGAATCAACTTTCAAATTCGCCTCGTCAAATGTGGAAACGCAATTACCTACACAGTATCTATTCCATTTGGAAAGTATATGCTCTGTGCTTAAATGGTATCTGTTGTTTAGCTCTAAAAATCCCTATATTTCTGAATCAAGATACCATAGTTTCGATTTCCATTCGATTGTAAACCATATTTCATCGCTAGACTTTCTACCCTATTTTGACGACGATTTTTTATCAATTCTTACAAACGAAAAACTTAATTTCCTTATAGGTTGTAATCTTAAAATATTCAACAATCAGCACTTTGCCGCTCTATTGAAGGAAAGCGTAAACAATGGATTTGAAGCAGTCTATGCTCTGACCAATATGTGCACCATTCGAATCAGTTTTGTCAAAGGATGGGGCGCCGAGTATAGGTACGTTTCAATCCCCAAGCCTCTCCCCTCTCTCTCCCTTGTTGTTCAGTTAACAGGGTTTGTATTATTACTAATCGAATTTCTATTTTTTTAGACGCCAGACCGTCACCAGTACTCCCTGTTGGATAGAGCTCCACCTGAATGGTCCACTCCAATGGTTAGACCGAGTACTCAGTCAGATGGGTTCACCCAATCATCCATGCACTTCAGTCAGCTAGACACTTCCACGCCAAATTGTCAAAATTGTAGTAGAAAGCGCTTTTCCATTTCTCTCCGCAACCGTAACATCCACATGTCGCACCATTCGTATTCAATTTGTGTCCATTGTGTATGGCCACTACAATCGCCATCCTCGAACCCACTGTTTCAGTTCTCCCCTTCACCACTCAATGCATTTGGTTTCGCTCTTCTAATTCCCATACATGCTTTCTTTTTAGCAGCCCCGCCTCTCTATCTCTCAAACATTCTTCAAGCATACTTCTTCGAATGTTGCGTGTTGTGCGTTGCCCCTTATGGCCCCCGTCTAAAGTATCTCTTTGAGGGGCTCTTGTCTCTTTTTTTGCCCTTATTATAAACTCCTTGATATATTTTCCTCTGTGGGGGGTGGGGGTGTGTGTATGCTTGCCTGATGTGTTTTGTTCCCTCCCTACTCTCCATCATGGATATGGATACTAAGCTTAGCTAAAGGACATTGTCATATATATATACATATATATATACATATAAATATTAATATATAAACTCCACCTTATTCCTTCCCATTCTATATCTCTTCAATTTTTATGTATTCTTTGATGATTAATAAATAAAAAACAAACGAATATGCTAAACACCCTTGTTGTAACAATCTCACTGTATTTTGGTGTACAAGTAAACGGAAATTTTTCTCAGTATTACACCTATCCAGGTTAAAAATAAACCTGCAATTAATGAATGCACAAACAGGAGTATTATTAGCGTCAAAATAAATTTATTTTCGACTCCATTCTGTAATAGCTTTTGGGAGGCTTGTGAGTCTGTGTTAACTTGAAGACCTGTGTATTCACTAGTTTTCCTGGGTCTGCTTCATTAGGTCATTGGTAGACTTACCTTCACGTGGTGCACCCTGATCAACGTATACTCACGGCAAAAAGTCTATTAACTGGCAGTTGACTTCTCACTTCAAACTACCATCACCCCACTGTTTGTCATATTCGACTACTTCCATAGTACTCACCTCACCTTTTTTCTACCTATGTATCTGTCTCTTTTGCATCTTTGAAACTCTTCTATTCCCCCTCCCCTCTCGACTTTTTTTCAATTTGATGTACCTTCCTCTCTGTGAGGCCTGAAGTCAACTATAGGGCTATGATAACCATCAAGACGCCTGCCATTTGATATAATAATAATATTAGTCCGAAGTGTCTCGGAAAAGTTAATTATGGCGGCGTGAGCCAAGAACGGCGTTTCATATATCATGGTGTCATTGCCAATCGTTCAAATAACTTACCTTCAAGAAACATGAGTGGGTTGTGGTATCATGGTATTTTCAATTCAAAATACCTGCTTCAATCGGATAAAACGAGTAGAGACCTCGGTGCATCTAGAGTCCAAATCTCTTCGTTTCCCCTCTTCATGCCATATTTTACTGATTTCTTAGCCTTAAGAAGTTCCTATTTTGCCATCAGTAAGAGCAATAACGCTCATTTTCCAATAGCTACTAAGTGTGAGTATTGGAGCCCTATAAATGCGCACGTGCATAGGTAGTTTCTTTTTCTAGTTGACAAGTTAGTCTAAATGATTTATTTATTTATTTATATCAAATGGCAGGCGTTTTGATAGTTATCATTAGCCCTGGAGCTGATTTCGGGGCTTCATGAAGATGAGAAGGGATATCAAAGTGACAAAAAGTCGAGATGGGAGACAGAATAATGATTCGCAGTGGTAAAAGAGACAAACAGACAGACACAAAGGCATAAAAAGGGTAAGATGAGTGCTTTGGAAGGGGTCGAATATGAAAAATAGTAGGGCCATAGAAATTTGAAGTCAGAAGTCAACTGCCGATCAATAGACTTTTTTGTCGTGTAAGTACACGTTGCCCAGGGTGCACCACGTGGAGGTAAGTCTATTGCGCACCCCAAAAAATATGGAACGCTTCACGATTTTACGTGTCATCCTTGCGCAGGGGCCATGCTAATCTTCTCTGTATCGTTCCAATTTTAGTATATGTACCTCCGAAGAGATACATAGTCTAAATGATAATCCCGCGTCACCGCATATACACAAGCCTTTATCTCACTCTTATTTCAATTGAAATGATCTCGAAGTCTCGTCCGCCATGTACTTCTTAACTCGGTGTCTTGGTCTTCACCAATCTCTGTAAGCAAATGAAACTCTTGTTTTCTGTAACGATTGAAGAAGTTTGAGCTTACGCACTGATACCATCCAACCAATCAGTAATCAATTTTTTAGTTCCACTTTTTTGTCAAGTTGTTAGCTTCTAGCTACTGTTCATTGCCTACTATAAATATGGATATTCCGTAAATTATTAACTATCGTTTCTCCTACCGTATCAAATTTGTTTTTTGCCGTGGAGCTTCGTCGCTTCTGTTCAACACGAACCTCAACTAATATAGTATTCATCCTAAAGCCACTCAACTCTGAGATTGATGAATTAAAGGTAGGCTAACGTGACAACCTGCCCATCTGATTGTCACCATAAAAATTTTATGGCGGATATGACCACATGGTGGACTAATGAGAAGATAAGACTTTAATATATTCAACTACAATCGCATTCTATGGTGGATTGAAGTAGCCATTAGGACAATTTAGTTACTTCCATTCATTCTTTGTATTCGTTGTTTCTTCTTGGACCACCTTGCTCCCTGACTCTTCTGGATGATTCTCCTCAGTCAGTGCTCTTTCTTCTTTGAGCTAACATTAATGTGCAGCGGATTACTATACAAGTATAGTCTCGACTGACTCAAAAATCTCTGTAGCAAATACTCCTGTACCTGGCTAGATTCCCAGAACTACAGCCCAGATATGGAGAAAACAGACGTATCTCACGGAACCCGTATATTTAGGAAGTATATTGTGGTAAAAGTTTACACGCTGTAAGGCTAGTCATAATCAAAAATGGCGGATTAGTTTAAACGAAAGGAGGCTTCTGTTTCGAAAATCCCACGAAAAAACAGAAATGGTAGGTGTAATAGAAATTGCAGAGTGCGAATTATCGGAAGGTTTGGACGCATTTCAACTCCCTCTCTCACTGCTCGTTGATTGAGTTATAGTTCTGGCTTAGTTGAAATCACTTTTGCGAAAGACGTCCTTCTCCTGGTATGCTCTTTTCCTCCACTCCATTTTGTAGAGTTTGAATAGCTGATACAGTTATGTAATAATCGATATAAATTTCTCAGTTATCCTGGTAGTACGTGTTCACACAATTGGGGATACATTTAGTGAGACGTGGTTTTTCCAAGTTTTAAGTGTACGATTTTGACAAAATTATGAAAAACAGACTTTGCTCTCACATTACTTCACCATAACCTCACTTTAAACATCTTAAAACTGCTAGAATGCAGCATAAATACCAACTCCCCCCCCCAATCTTTCATTTTGTCTTCCCAAGAAGTAGGAGGTTTTATTTGACTTTTACGTCTAGATTGTTATGGGCAAAAATTACAGAAACTATTTGTTGAATATTGAAATGCCCTGACGGCCACAGCTAAGCTGTCAACTAATCTCCAATATATTAAGCCGTAAATAGCACTGTGGTACTTTGTTAATTAATAAATTTATTAATTACTATTAAAATAATTCCCCTTTGCTGATTCATAGCCAGAGGACGTAAATGGAACGAAGTCTGTGACCTAACGATGGAAAGTAGATTACCTGTCAGTAAGCTAAGTGTCATTGACTTGAATCAAGCCAAAGCTCAGGAGTTAAATTCAAACCTCGATACATTACTAGGCATTAAAATAAATTATATTCTTTGCATGAAATGAGTGAAAACTATCCTTCCAGAAACCTAGGTAAGGGCGTTTCATCTTCTGACCTCATAATATGATCCTATGTGATTCAGTTTGATCCTTGACCTTGTATCGAGACACATTGCCATAATAAAACTTAAAAGAACTTTTAGTTTTCCAACTAGGGCACATATTGCT